TTTCATCCACCCCCGTGTCTCACCCATCCGCGTGTCTCTCTGTATCAATGCATCTCCGTGTTTGACTGTCAACCCCCGTGTCTTGCCACGTCCCTCTGCCTCTCCAGGTCCTCGGATGTCGCCCTGTCTCCCCGCGTCCACCCTGTCTCCCCACGTCCACCCTGTCTCCCCACGTCCACCCTGTCCCTGTCTCTCTGTGTCACCGCGTCCCCGTGTGTCTCTCTCTGTCTCACCATGTCCCCACGTGTCTCACCGTGTCTCACCACGTGTCTCGCCGTGTCCCCCGTGTCTCCCCGTGTGTCTCTCTCTGTCTCACCGTGTCTCCCCGTGTCTCACCGTGTCTCCCCGTGTCTCACCGTGTCTCACCGTGTCTCCCCGCGTGTCTCACCGTGTCTCACCGTGTCCCACGTGTCTCACCGTGTCTCACCGTGTCTCATCACGTGTCTCACCGTGTCTCCCCGCGTGTCTCACCGTGTCTCCCCGCGTGTCTCACCGTGTGTCTCACCACGTGTCTCACCACGTGTCTCCCCGCGTGTCTCACCGTGTCTCACCGTGTCCCACGTGTCTCACCGTGTCTCCCCGTGTCTCACCGTGTCTCACCACGTGTCTCACCGTGTCTCACCACGTGTCTCACCACGTGTCTCCCCGTGTCTCACCGTGTCTCACCACGTGTCTCACCACGTGTCTCACCGTGTCTCCCCACGTGTCTCACCACGTGTCTCACCGTGTCTCCCCACGTGTCTCACCACGTGTCTCACCGTGTCTCCCCACCTGTCTCACCACGTGTTTCCCCGTATCTCACCGTGTCTCACCGTGTTCCCCGCGTGTCTCACCGTGTCTCCCCACCTGTCTCACCACGTGTCTCCCCCCGTGTCTCACCACGTGTCTCCCCCCGTGTCTCACCACGTGTCTCCCCACGTGTCCCGCCCATCGTCGTGTCTCTGCAGAGATCCCGGATGATCCGGCCCTGGCTGAGATTCTGTATGAGGACGACTTCGAGGTGGACAGCGACGACACCAACAGCACGGACGACGACGACGACGATGAGTCCACCACAAACGTACGCTGACCCAGCGACACACACAGAGACACACACAGTGACACACACACAGTGACACACACACAGTGACACACAGTGACACACACACACAGTGACACACACACAGTGACACACACAGTGAAACACACACACAGCGACACACACACACACACACAGTGACACACACAGTAACACACACAGTGACACACACACAGTAACACACACAGTGACACACACACAGTGACACACACACACAGTGACACAGACACACAGTGACACACACAGTGACACACACACACAGTGACACACACACACAGTGACACACACACAGTGACACACACAGTGACACACTCACATACAGTGACACACACACACAGTGACACACACAGTGACACACACACACCAGTGTACCAACTGCCCTATGGGTGTCAATGCACGTGTCACTGTGTGTGGCGCCCACGATCCATCCTGGGTTTGACCAGCAGGCTGGACTGTGTGAGGAGCTCACAAATCCTTGAGAGATCTGGACGCGTTCCCATCGGTGAGCTCCTCCGGCAGGCAAGGCTGCGCTGGCTGGGTCATGTAGCCCGCATGTCTGTCACCATGTGTGTCACCGATCGCGTCACTGATCGTGTCACCGCGTGTGTCACCGTGTGTGTCACCTTGTGTGTCACCGTGTGTGTCACCTTGTGTGTCACCGTGTGTGTCACCGTGCGCGTCACCGCGTGTGTCACCGTGTGTGTCACCGTGTGTGTATCACCGCGTGTGTGTTACTGATCGTGTCACCGATCGCGTCACTGATCGCGTCACCGCGTGTGTCACCATGTGTGTCACCATGTGTGTCACAGTGCGCGTCACCGCGTGTGTCACCGCGTGTGTCACTGTGTGTGTCACCGTGTGTGCGTCACTGATCTCATCACCGCGCGTGTGTCACCACGTGTGTGTTGCTGATCTCGTCACCGCGTGTGTGTCACCGCGTGTGTGTCACCGTGTCACAGGACAGCGACGTGAGGGATCTGCTCCGCTGCTTCCACGCCGTGGTGGACGCGGCGGGCGACGACGGCTCCCAGCGCTAGCAGCAGCGCCAGCAGCTGCCCCGTGGGCATCGGGGGTCTCTCCCGACGTCGCAACGCGAGCCTGGACACACCGCCACCGCCGCCGTCACCACAGTCCCCGTCACCGCCGCCGTCAGCCACCACTGCCGTCGTCACTGCCGCCACCGTCACCACCACAGTCACCACTGCTGTCACCACCGTCACCATCACCACCGTCACCGCCGCCGTCACCACCACCACCGTCACCACTGCTGTCACCACCGTCACCGCCGCCGTCACCACCACCACCATCACCACCGTCACCGCCGCCGTCACCACCACCGTCACCGCCGCCGTCACCACCACCACCATCACCACCGTCACCGCCGCCGTCACCACCACCGTCACCACTGCTGTCACCACCGTCACCGCCGCCGTCACCACCACCACCATCACCACCGTCACCACCACCACCGTCACCACCACCACCGTCACCACCACCACCGTCACCACCACCACCGTCACCACCACCGCCACCGCCGTGGCAGGAGTCGTCCTCTCCCACCGAGCGCGGTGGAGAGAAGTGGCCGTGGCCGACTGGCTCAAGGGCAGCTGAAGAACAAAGCGTGGAAATTGAACCGATCGCCGTCAAGCGCCACCAGCAGCAGCATCATCAGCAGCAGCACCAGCAGCACCAGCGGCAGCACCAGCAGCACCAACAGGAGCAGCAGCACCAGCACCAGCAGCAGAAGTAGCAGAAGTAGCACCAGCAGCAGTAGCAGCAGCAGCAACAGCTGCAGCAGCAGCAATAGCTGCAGCACCAGCAGCAGTAGCAGCAGCTGCAGCAGCAACAGCAGCAGCAGTAGCAGCAGCTGCAGCAGCAGCAACAACAGCATCAGCACCAGCAGGAGCAGCAGCAGCAGCATCAGCAGCAGCAGCAGCAGTAGTAGCAGCATCAGCACCAGCAGGAGCAGCAGCAGCAGTGGCGGCGGCAGCAGCAGTAGCAGCAGCAGTAGCACCAGTAGCAGTAGCAGCAGCAGTAGTAGCACCACCAGTAGCAGCACCAGCAGGAGCAGCAGCAGCAGCAGTAGTAGCAGCAGCAGCAACAGCAGCATCAGCACCAGCAGGAGCAGCAGCAGCAGCCGCGGCAGTAGCAGCAGCAGGAGCAGCAGCAGAAGCAGCAGCAGTAGCACCAGCAGCAGCAGCAGTAGTAGCACCACCAGTAGCAGCAGCAGCAGTAGCAGCAGCAGCAGTAGCAGCAGCAACTAGCACAGCGAATTTTGGCCACGATGCGGCCGGCGCTGCCGCCCAAGGAACTGGGCCTCTCATCCCACCGGCGTGCAGGGGAGCTGATGCTGCTGCTGCTGCTGCTGATGATGCTGCTGATGATGATGCTGCTGATGATGATGCTGCTGATGATGATCATCGCTGAGCTCCGCGGTCATCATCGTCCGTGATGGGCAGCCGAAGATATTTTACAAAATATATATATGTTCATTCACGGGTCTCTGTGTGAGTCTGTGGGTCTCTGTGTGAGTCTATGGGTCTCTGTGTAAGTCTGTGGGTTTCTGTGTGAGTCTATGGGTCTCTGTGTAAGTCTGTGGGTCTCTGTGTGAGTCTATGGGTCTCTGTGTGAGTCTATGGGTCTCTGTGTGAGTCTATGGGTCTCTGTGTAAGTCTGTGGGTTTCTGTGTGAGTCTATGGGTCTCTGTGTAAGTCTGTGGGTCTCTGTGTGAGTCTATGGGTCTCTGTGTGAGTCTATGGGTCTCTGTGTGAGTCTGTGGGTCTCTGTGTGTGTGTCTATGGGTCTCTGTGTGAGTCTGTAGGTCTCTGTGTGAGTCTGTGGGTCTCTGTGTGAGTCTATGGGTCTCTGTGTGAGTCTATGGGTCTCTGTGTGAGTCTATGGGTCTCTGTGTAAGTCTGTGGGTCTCTGTGTGAGTCTATGGGTCTCTGTGTGAGTATGTGGGTCTCTGTGTGAGTCTGTGGGTCTCTGTGTGAGTCTGTGGGTCTCTGTGTGAGTCTATGGGTCTGTGTGAGTTTGTGGGTCTCTGTGTGAGGCTATGGGTCTCTGTGTGAGTCTGTGTGTCTCTGTGTTAGTCTGTGTGTCTCTGTGTTAGTCTGTGTGTCTCTGTGTGAGACTGTGGGTCTCTGTGTGAATCTGTGGGTCTCTGTGTGTGTGCCTACGGGTCTCTATGTTACAGATTTGACGTCACAGCTCACTTGCCGTGCAAAAAATAAATGCATTATTGAGCTCCCCAACCCCCCCCCCCCCCCCCCCCAAATTTGTTTTATTATATTTTTATAATTTCTGTATGGTGTACAGTCTGGAAAGTACCCACATGGCAAATTTCAAGTTTGTTGCATGTCAGGAAGTATGCTAAACATTTCGAACAGACACACATAATCACAATTTTGCTTTTTAATATATATGGAAATAGATTTGTTTTCTCTTTTAAGGCCACGCGGCAGAGGGCTGAACCGGGTACCCGATACCCGTACCCTACCCGATACCCGGCTACCCGTATCCGGCCGGGTACGGGTACCCGTTTGCGACCCTGGTGCGGCCGAACGGGTAGGCCGTGAGTCACTGGTGAGTCACCGTTTGTCACTCATTTCCCAACGTCTTGTCTCTTCTCACAATTCAAGTTCCTAGAATCAACCCACCCGCGCCTGCAACATGGCTTCATCCCAGAGGTCGCAATCAGGTACCCCGATACCCGTACCCTACCCGTACCCGACCGGGTAGGGTACGGGTAGGGTACGGGTACGGCCGGGTACGGCCGGGTACGGGTACCCGTTTGCGACCCTGGTGCGGCCGGGTACGGGTAAGGAATCAAAACCCGTTTGCGACCTCTGCCACGCGGTGTCGGCCATTATCGAGTCCGTGCTCCGTCGTCGTTCTGGCCGATTTTTCGTCTTTTTTTTCTTCAACGGCAGCAACGCCGCCGCTTGGCCGCCAGGTGGCGAGGCAGGATCTCGATCTTCGTGAGCGGAGCGATGCCGATACGAATGATCAGAAGTTTCGTTGTTTTATACTGGAGGAATCTGAAGCTATTTTTTTTATTGCAGATGTCCAGTAGATTACCTCCCTCACCCACCCTCTGCGAGCTAGGGTGGTGGGCGTGCTTGTGTCGTAGTGATAATGATGCTATTATTGTGACGGTCCCACCTGATGATAGAGAGTTGTGATTTATAATTGTATTTCTATTATTTCTATTATTTTTACGTCGTGAATCGAAACGTCGTGAATCGAAACGTTGTGAATTTGAAACGTGAATCGAAACGACGTGAATCGAAACGTTTTTAATCTAAGCGTCTTCTTGGTTCTTTCGGTAAAGTCACGTAGAAGGGAAATAATAAAATAATAAAAATAAAACATTATAAAATACAATTCTCACGACGTTTCGGCCACAACGCAAGCAGCCGTCCTCAGGTGAAGAACAGGTCTGTTGGAAAGACAGCGTCTGAATGAACACCACCAGGCTTGGCAGCGTATATTTAAGCTGGGTTAGGGGAGGAAGGGCGCCTTTCCGACAGACCTGTTCTTCACCTGCGGACGGCTGCTTGCGTTGTGGCCGAAACGTCGTGAGAATTGTATTTTATTGTTTAATATTTTTTTATTTGTTTATTTCCCTTCTGCGTGACTTTACCGAAAGAGCCAAGCAGATGAATCCCTGCAGTCACGAAAGAAGCTTTAAATCGAAATAAAAAACATGTGTATATATATGATAGGCGACGTTTCGGGCTAGGGCCCTTTTTGCAGCTATTCCACCAACAAGGCAGGAGAAACGTTGTCAATACTCACTCCTATTCTTTGGTTCTTTCGGTAAAGTCACGTAGAAGGGAAATAATAAAATAATAAAAATAAAACATAATAAAATAATAATATTATTTCATTTTATTATTATATTTTATTCCATTATTTTATTTTATTATGTTTATTTTTATTATTTCATTATCTCCCTTCTACGTGACTTTACCGAAAAAAACCAAGAAGATGAATCCCTGCAGTCACGAAAGAAGCTTTAAATCGAAATTTTATCTAAGCGTCGTGAATTCGAAACGTCGTGCATCTTAACGTCGTGAATCGACACGGTTCACAGGAGGCGGGGGGGTAGCAGTGGCAGGTGGTAGTAGTAGTAGCGCTTTCGCGAACAATACTATTCACAATAAAGGATGTATGGGGTTAGGGGCCGTCCATAAATGACGTCACGCGATTTTGGGCGATTTTTGACCCCCCCCCCACCCCCCCTCGTCACACGGCGTCACAAAAAGTCAGACCCCCCCCCTCCCTCAAATATGACGTCACAAAGCTCTGCCCCCCCCCCCCAAACTAAAACATGCTTCAAATCGCTTTAAACTATTGTCATTGTAGTGCGTATTTAATGTGGCGCTGCACTCTGATGTTGTAGGAGAAAACATTTATTAAAAAGGTCAATTTAATTAAGTAGAACGTGTTGTCTATATTTATTTAAAGTTGCGCATTTTGATGTGACGTCACATTTCTCACCCCCCCCCCCCTCGTCACACATCGTCACAAATGTCTGACCCCCCCCCCCCCACCTAGGTGCGTGACGTCATTTATGGACGGCCCTATTAAATCGCGTAATTAAAATGTGTCCTTAACCCGATCACCACCACCCGGCAGCTAATTTCATCAAGTTTCTCACCGACACAACACATTGTCCTGCGGAGGGAGCTGGTAGGAACGTCGGTTTGCTCGGTCAATGGCCTGCAGGGTCAACGGCGGCGTGGTGTATTCCGCAAATATGCCCGACTGTGAGGGCGGGCACAAGCCGGCGTGAGTAGGTTAAACGTTGAGTTTTATAAGGGCACCACGGGGTGACCAGCCCCTCCCCACCCAGCCCCACCCCACCCTCCCACCCCCCACCAAACCCCACCCTCCCCACCCAGCCCCTCCCCCCCCACCAGCCCCTCCCCACCCAGCCCTCCCCACCCCCCCTCCCCACC